GATAATTTGTTGTCCCAAGTTAAACAGTAGCAGTTTTAACGTCGGTCGTTCGAGATAAACATCGGACCATTAAGTGATATTTTTAATAGACTTCAATGAAAGAGGGGAAAATTTTAATCGATTTTGATCGTTTCTTTTTATACAATAGGCCATGCTTCAGAGGTGATACCACAAAAAATCATTTTTGTTCAATCACCCCAATATGGATATCAAATGGAAGCACTTGTACAAAACAGTAATACGAAAACAGTTTCAAATCAAGATGGCGGCCGTTACAAAATGGCGGATAACATACTTGCTAATATCTCAAATAAGAGTCGTCGCCTTGTAGAATACAGTACTTCACTAAAAATTTGATTCCAAGATTGCCGCCGTTTCGAAATTGCGAGTTACATATTTTTGTACAAAACCCCCAATTTACATATCAAATGAAAAGACTTGACATGTGTGGTAAAATACAGAACTTTGTGACCAAAAGTTTCCAGGTGGTTCCAGGGTCATTGGAGGCGGTAATCTTTTTAGTTAAAAATAATAATTATAGTGAACGCATTTACCACAAATAAAATGTCACTTACTGTTTAGCTTTAACCTTATGGAGTATCGTAAAATAAACTTAACACGATAAGCGTCATGAGATATAATGCGTGTGTCGCAGCTCATTTGGCGCTTTGGGCCTCGTGACACACATGATATGTCTCACTGCTGGCAGTTATATTTGGCCGCGTAACGTAAGACGTGTGCCATGCTGATGTGATTTTCTTATGGGAACCAAGAGTCCGTGGCCTGAGGGACCAAATTATACTGAATTGGAAATGAAAACATTAAAAAACACGTTGTTTATAGAGTTTTACAAAAAGAGGATATTCTACAAATCTAAAACAAAAAGCAAATCTTATGAAATAATCAGACATTCTCATTCAAAAATGAACAAAGTAATTTCACAGCAAATCAGTAAGTTATGGTAAATGTCGATATTCTAACGAATACAAATATGGAGGAACTCTTATAAACTAAACAGATTGACAAAGTCTTATGCAGGAATAAACAAAATACCGGTATAAATAAACAGTAATACAGATAAATATGGAATTACTACAACTACTATCTGATTCACTACCACTTGGAGAATACGCATCAGATAAGTATACATCCCCACATAACTCAGTGCTGCCACTCTCTTCATCCGATAGTATTTCATTACACAATTATTCAAGCCTTTTTTGCTCCGCTTCGTAATGCGACATCACAAATTTGATATTCAATAATTTATAAACAGTAAAGCAATTTGGACAAGATGACGTACAATACCAACAACGCTTCAATAATAAATGACACGAAACAGTGCTCAACGCGCGACATGATGCAAGTCTTGACTTGCAAAAAACGCGACGCGACTTATGTGCCACGCGACCCGACTGGTCTGTGGGCCACGCGACATACAATTAGTACCTCAGAAAAAAAAATCAAAAAAGGGGAAAAATCATAGGATTTGAGAAAAAAGTCAAGACAAAATATTAAACCGAAACTTAAAACAAGCTAATTTGACAATAATAACAGTTTGGCCCAGTGGACTGGATTTTCAGATTCTACTGTGGCGCTTAACGTGTCAATGTGACATTTCAATATTCGCCATCTAACAGACTAGATAAAGCTAGCCGATGCTACGTGCTATTGAGCCTGACGATTGACTTTTATTTAAATAAACAATATATACATAATATACAATAAATAGTGAACATCTGGTACTAGTACCAAAATGGAAGAGATTTGCATAACATCTCGCACATCGCTGCTAAAGCGAGATCTGCACACCGCATTTGCCGACACGAAGGGGTTAGTAACGGCGTACAATGTAATATGCTAATCTCTTCCATCTTGGTACCCGAGTACAGCAAAAATAGCAATTCTCAAGAACTCTTTTTCTTGTTCAAACGGTTCTCTTGTGCCTTCAAGATCACATCGGGATCGCGGATTGGCATATTTCTGCTTTTTCTGGGATCGACCAGTTCTGGGAGCAAGCAGTTCATGTAGAAGAATTTCAATTTCTCTTCCATTTCATTTTTTCCCGAAAACGTCATCCTTTCGAATGACGTCTATTTTCAAACCATACGGGGTCCAAACACCAAGCACACAGTACTCTCTTTGTGCAACGTGTAGCTGCCCTTGAATTTGGTAATACCACTTATGTTTTTTATTTATTTCATCGTTTATCCAAAACGTAATTTTTTTGTTCAGAATGCCCTCTCCAGGGGTCATTTCTCTAGCCGACCATGGACATTTAATTTCTAGCAGACCTTTTTCGCCTATCAAACCATCTGGCGATGCTGCCAGAAATGGATGGGTCCTATCAATAAACAACCCGCAAGATTGTACTTCTGATTGCGAATATGATTTCTCTATTTCTGATTTTGCCACGCTTTCATGCTTTTTTCCATAGTCACATGCATTGCTAAAGAATTCGGTTGGGTATATTATGGCGTTTACTAGAGCTCTGCAACTTGTTGTATCTCTTCTTCTACAAACCTCACCAAACCGAGACGCAGTCAACCTCATTCTTCGACGAAGACGCCACAAATTGCAATCCTGAGATTTTGTGGCTTGCTCGATCTGGGAAATTTTGGAGTCGGTTTTTGCAAGTTTTTTCAAGAATTCTACCTTGGCAGCCTCTATGTCTTCGTTGCTCATGTCAGGCTTCTCACAGAATTCCCCATAGGATGCGTTCTCTTTAGTATCACTATCTCTGATTTTAATTTTCCTTGGCTTCAGCTTCCTTTTCAGATTTTTGTGCGCTCTCCTTTCTTCAACTTTAGCAATCAAAGAGGTTGGACTGAAACTAGGGAGTAGCCGCTTTTGGATCACACAAACAGGTCGCTGTGTATTGTGGCTCACTACGGCTGCAGCACATCTTCCTTGGTAGGATCTCTTCTTGCAATAATTAATCCGTTTACCCCCAATGAATTTAGCTATGATTGAGTTAAACTGCTCTACAATACTATTATCGACGTCATGAAGTAAACTTACTGCATTTTTAATCAGAATTGCCAGAAATGATATCAGCCTCTGGTGCAAATCTAAAAAAAAAGGGTATACACACCTGAATTTGAAGATCCATGCCATCTGTCTCTGTTAGAGAATGCATATGCGAAACCTTGCTGTCATTTTTAAGCTAAAATAACATATAAAATATAGTTATAATAGTAACTACGTATAGTCTAATTTATTGGCAAAATGAATGCTAAAATTCATAATTGTTTTGGTACCTACTTTTCTATCTGGAAAACGTTTTTTTTCCTGTGCGTATTTAAATGCGGCTTCTTCGAGACGCCACGTTTATTTCTCTTATTGTTCATTTTTGATACCTTGATAAGAAAGACACTCAACAATAACAGCACAACAATAACAACACAACAATAACAACACGATAATACAACAATACAATAACGGTAATAAAAGTAATAAGGGCTGAGTATACTATGCGCCAAAATAGGGAAACAGTCGTACGCTAGATCGTATATCCAAATCAAATCCGACTCTGTGCAATATGCAAATTCAACCAGGCACGCGAACAGCACACCTCTGCGTATTACTATCCTTTTCTAACGTAGAGCGCTTGCCTTGTCACAACGCCGTCCTACTAGCGTTTCCCTATCACCCCCCCGATTCCCCTCAGAAACTCTGCTTGACTGTGAGAGCGCCGTTAAATAATAGTATTTTTTCATTATAAAAGCTTCACAACAAAGCTTTATTTGTTAAAAGACGGATAATTTTAAATCTTATTATCTAAAAAGTTCGCGTGACTGATTTCACAGAAAATCGTCAGATTTTTATCATTCAAGTTCATTTAAAAATACTAAAATTTACTAATTATTAATTATACACGGACTGTTACTCAACAAAGCGAACTTTATTATTTTAATTTGATAGAAAATATCGAAGGGCTACCGACACGATTTAACTGATTTAAATCACTCTTAAATCACAATCGAAATTTGAAATATCCTTCAAAAATATAAAGTAAAACGCGTTATATATTCCACGAAAAATGTACGGCATTATAAAAATTGTCGTTAATTTATCAAGTATCTACTATTAAAATTATTTAATTTTAAGTTGTATCAATTCACCACCATTATACTATAAAAGGGTAGGGGGTTGCGACCCAAGTTTTCTCACCCCTGTACCAGCAGATATGTACGGCGTTGGTGAATTTTAAATGTAAAAAATTACAGAAAGGTAACTGTAATAATGCCGTACGTTAATTAATTAATTTTTCCGCATAGAAAATTTCATGAAAATTAAAAATTTTTTATGGCTTCCGGCACCATTATTTCCGTACGGCACTAAGTGCATCGTGATTATTTTGTTGGCATCTGTGATACTAAAGAAAGCCGTAAAAAATCATTTAGACTTTTCCGACCCCTTCTGGACAGAAAATTCAATTTTCCCATGTACTTACATGTACCGCTCTCAAGTGACGGCATAGTGCTAGAAGTTATTTTTTCATGTAGTACTATCGTTCTGAGTAGGTTTCCTGCTGTATCACATGACCCCCCATTTTTGCCCACAGCTCCCGGTCTATATAACATAATCAAGTTGCTTTGGATAATATCTGAGTAGTGTTAACGGATTCTTGTTTCTCATACTAGAAAACCTCCCTATACCGAGTTTTATGCCAAAATCTGAAATACTTCTCAAGCAATAAGGAAAAATAGAAAACAAAATTGTAACTTTCACACCCTGTATCTCGCAAACTATCAACTTTTGGACTGAGGTATGTTTAGGTCAATTCACATATTTTAGTCTGTAGTATTTCTAGTTTCGAGATTTCCGAACCTTTCGCAGAGTTACCGATTCAGAACTATGATAACTCTGGATATAACAAATTAATGTTGACGGAGAAGATTGCTTCAAGTTCTTGATATGACGGCTAGGGGATGTACATAACTACAACTTTGAAACTCAAAACGTTTTCTTCACAAGTAACGAAATGTTTTACTTACTTGTCTTGATGGTATTGAATGACCAAGGGGCCGTAATAGTTTGATTCCCTTTCTTACACAGAATTCTAGGCATCAGTTGCTTAAGATTTATGTCGTTTACAAAAGCAGTGATTAGATTATTGACTCTGACCTTTCCACGGAATTTTATGTCACCTTTCAGTTTATGCTCCCCAATCTTCATCATCTGGAATTATGAAAAAATCGTGCTTCAACCTGTTTTGAAACGTTGTAAGTTACTTACGCTTCTCTCCAAATCTTGAAACGTTATGCCATTTATTGTTGAAACATTCTGAAGCGTGTCAAGTGTTGAATTGCTTCCGATGATAAGTTTGTTAATTTCACCTTTTTCCATGATGTTATCCAGTGTCTTTTGATGATGTTCTATTGGTTTTTCGTTCAACATTGTGACATGAAGGTTTTCAGCTAGAACATGTTTTGATATCATCTGATATTGTAGGGACACCTTAAATTGTCTGTTGGATTATACTGCCGTATGTAAAAGTGTAAAAGTCGATGTACGAGAAAATTCCGGACCTTTTCAAACTAAATAAATAATATTATTACGACAGAACAAACGTGAATAAATGTTTGCAAACTTACACGACTTTATATACAGGGTGATTCACAAGTCGTGACCAAAAATGAAACATCATACACAGGGCCGCATTTTAAGGGGGGTGATAAAGTTGGTGTTTTCTACTATATATTATCAAAATATTCATTGTTAATATTTTAAACCTATAACACCCTGCTACATTTTTATTATTTGTGTTTGATGAGAAAAAAACTAAGATTTCAATAGTTGGGCCACCTGAAGTGGGAAGGGGCTCGTATAGTAGAAAACACCAACTTTATCACTCCCTAATCAAATTTGCAGCATAATAATAACACATGTTGCAATTACAGCATATCAACCTATTTTCATTTCAATGCAAAATAAGTCTATAACGCATAGGTGGCTGTGAAAAATAAAAGCCTTAACAATTGTTTTTATTAATCACAGCTGTCAGAATACGTTTAAAATAGTTTTGGGTAGTTGAGGTTGACATTGCAACTTTGTTAGACTTATCGCGGTACAGTGTGAGAAATATTGTTAGAAGATATAACGTAACTGGTTCAGTTAATATTAAGCCATAATATGTGGAAAAAAGTAATATCACAAATGCCAACCGAAGAGCATTAAGAAGAATAATCGTGAAAAACAGGCGTGCGAATTATTTACAATTGAGTGCTCTGTAGAGTGACGCTGTTGGAAGGAGAATTTCGAGGTCCACAACTCATAGAGAGGCCCATAATCTGGGATTTAGCACTTGCAAGGAAAGTTTTCTTATAAAAAAAAGTGAAGTAAAAACCCTAAAGTTGCACAACTTGTTTATAAGCCATTATTAACTCCACTGCAATAGAAAAATCGGCTTAGATGGGCTGAAGAACATAGTCAATGGACACCTCAACACTGGTGTGCAATACAATGGAGTGATGAGGCCCGATTCGAAGTTTGTGTTGGTGACAGTCGCAGTAGTTTTATTTGCAAAAAAAATGAAGCATTCCATGTTAACTGTCTGAAGAGAAAAGTGAAATTTCCAGCATCCATTATGGTCTGGGGCAGTATGTCATCAAAAGGAGTAGGAAAGCTTCATTTTATTGATGGAAATGTGGATACAAACAAATATTTGGCAATTTTAGAAGAATCGCTTTTACCAGTGATGGAAGAATGTTTGACATCCGGCCAAGATTTTGTGTTTCAGCAAGATGGTGCAGCGTGCCATATCTCAAAAAGGCTATAAAATGGATGGGAGAAAATAGTGTACCACTTTTGCAATGGGTTTCTTAGCAGTCCAAATCTGTCACCTATTGAAACCTTGTGGCACGAGATGAAAAAGGTTCTACGACAACATCCTGTTCGTACAATCACCGAACTGAGACAAATGCTTCAAGAAATATGGGATTGTTTTACACCAAATGTTTGCCAAAACATGGTTAACACTCGGCCCCAAAGAATTTCAGCCGTAATAAAAAGTAAAGGTGATGTTACCAATGGTAATCTTTCAATTGTTACTTTGTTAACTCAATTAACTCAATTGTTGCTTTGTAACTTCGCACATTTATTCGCACATTGTTTATTTGTTCAGATGTTCTATTAGTTATAGGTCTAAGTGACTTCAAATATGTATTTTTTACGACTGGAGTGTATCTAAAATGTTTTTGAGAAAATAAATTGTTTTAGAAGTAAATAGTTTCGTCATGTTTAGTTTATAAAGGCAACTTTTGGTACAAATCTTGAAGTGGGCCAACTGAAGTGGGAAGGGGCTCGTAGAAAACCATCCCTTAAAATACGGTCCTGTGTATGTTGTTTTATTTTTGGTCACGACTTGTGAATCACCCTGTATAGAGTCATTAAAATGTAAATATTTTCATCATCTGATAATTCAATTTTATAATTATATACTCACATTTGATAATTAAACTCAACAAAAATAATTATATAAAAAACTAACAGCAGCCTGTTGTATAATAAGTTAAACGAACTATATTTTTCAAAATTATCCTTTAAGAGCAAAGGTAGAAAGGGAAATACTAATTCATAAATAATTTAATTATTACGACATACAAAACTAGATAAGTTAACATCATAATATGTTATAAAGGGTAAAAAGGCAGTACTTGCATCATAAAGAGAATAAAAGCAGTACAGTTTATAAACTACACTGCTCTTTACTTTGGTGAATTGATTTACTGCTTTTATGCTTAGGAAATCTTATTAATATAAAATACTTGACAAAGTGCAAAAATAACTGTTTTTGTTAAATAATATAAAAATAAACCGTATTTTATTAAAATCAAATTACAGATAATGCATTACCTATAAGATTAGTGAGCAACTTAATGGCGAAGTTTAGCTATGACAGCTATCCTTACACTTAACCAATTACTGCATAAAATATGTGGCAGAAAAGTACAGCTCTAAATAAATTGAAAGGAGGAAAATGTACGAGAAACTGATCACAACCTAAACAAATGTTAGCATAAAAATATAATGCTGAAGAAAAACCTTTATAAAGCACCATTGAGCAAAGGAGCTTTTAAAGAGCCTTCAATAACGGGATCAGTGTTACATTTTGCAATTCTCATAATAAAAGAAATGTATTGGCGTCAAAATTAAAAAAAAGCAGTACATGAACGTTACTGCCTTTTACGTATACATAAGTACGGCAGTATAGACAAGTAGCAGGGCTAGATATACTGGCCCGAAGGATTTTCGTCCGATTACTCTCTCATCTTTTGTGCTTAAGACATTGGAAAGGATAGTTGATAGATACTTAAGAGATGGCCCGCTGGAAAGGTGTGTCATTCCTGCAAATCAGTTTGCATACCAAGCTGGGAAATCGACTGATATGGCCTTGCACAATCTGGTCGGTAGGCTGGACAAGACTCTAGATCAGCGAGAAGTGGCACTCGTGGCCTGTTTGGACATTGAAGTTGCATTTAATTGCACTACAACCGACTCTATCAGACATGCCTTGGTTAGGCACGGGGTTGGATCAATCCTAATAGATGGCTAAAAGGGCGAGGCTTGTGATCTAAGGAATGTAGAGGTGCATAAGCGCCCGTTTAAGCGTCCTATGCACTGGCTCCTTATGGTGACCGGAATACCTCTAATTTCACGATACATATGAATGATCATTCATAGACAAGTAGATTCCAAAATAGAAGATGTAGCATAACTCGCCGTACGCCACTGGTAGCGCAGTGTACCTTTGTGTGGATCTAATCATATTTTTTCACGTTAACAGTGACGTACGATGCTCTTTTTTTGTGCTCGACGATCATGTCAGAATCTAAAGGCCTTGATAACGATGATTACATTACCTTTGATTTTGTTGAAGTTCAACATGGTAATGTTTTCGGGACGATCAATATAAATGATATCTTCGGAAAATTCTTTAAGTTTTACACCGTTGATGCGATCTACCTTATTCTCTTTCTCGAGTGTTAAATTGCCCGTGACTGTTAGAGTTTCGAATCTCTTCTTTCCTGAAACGTATGTTAAACATTAATCGTACACTTTAAAAAATGATTGCATTTCCTACCTTTAATTGTCACGTTAGACATTTTGGAATGCAAGGCATTAGATGTGTCTATTCCGCCTATATTTTCAGCGACAAGGTTTTTCACTGTCAGTGACTTCGGGTATTTTTTTCTACCGCGTATACTGAAGCTAAAAAGAATCAAGTGATCAATAAAGGTCTGCCCGCTATATCGCATCATATTCAGATCATACTAGTAGTATTGTACCATCAACGTAGGATAATTTTACTGTTGACACCATACTCTATGTTGAAAAGCAAAGCAATTTATTACTCCTAGTTCATTCCACATAGGGATTGCTGGTCGCTGACTCAGAATTAGAAGTCAGTATGTCAGTTTGAGGGCATTTCGAGGTCATTTTAAGGCCACTCATACGATAAACTAACAACGTTGAGTAGTAGATTCCAACCACCTGTCATTTGGGTATATAAGGTGGGCCTTTATATTGAGCGGATTTTAGAAAATCATAGAAAAATAAATAATAGTTTAAAAAACCTAAAAAAACATGCTTTTATAGCTAACCGAACTAAAAATTTTTAATTATTATATTACAGTAGTGGATGGTCGAACAATCAATCGTAATTAATGACCTCAAAATAAAATTATAATAAACTTTAAGTTATTAATAGAATCGTTCATTTCAGAGTAACAAGCGTGGGGTGCATGTTACTACATTTTCATAACTCTCCTCTTATAGATAGTTGCCAATAGAATGACTGTAACATTTAATATATCGAGCACCCCACGCTTTTTGCTCTAAATTGAATTATTTTGTTAATAACTCACATTTTATTATAATTTTATTTTGAGGTCATTAATTATGAATGATTACTACTGTAATATAAGCCCTTTGTAATTAAAAACTATTTTCTACTTTTTAGTTCGGTTAGAGATAAAAGTGTGTTTTTTTAGTGTTTTTAAACTATTATTTATTAAAAAATGACTTTTTTCGAATAGAAAAGAATCAGCTTGGGGACTGAGATGAATTTTTTTACTAAACAGTCGATAACTTTACTGATTTTTCGTAGTTATTAGGTGAGAGAAACTACATTTTTTCCGTAATATGACAAAGGCAAATAAACAAAATTCATATTTTACAAATATTCTTCATCCGGTTCCAAACAGCTTGAAGAATGTTCTTTTACATTATAGAACACGGTGCCGAAAAAAAAACAAAAACTCGATTTTTTCGTGAACTACCCTAGATAATGCTTAGATTCAGGTGCTCATTGTTAGTGAACGTGACTAGTTATTTATTGGGATAACTTTGAACAGTCAGAAACACCTTGTTGGATATACATATACAGGGTGTTCCTTAATGATATGCGAATATTTAAGGGTGTGAATCTACATGAAAAATCAATATTAGTTTGCTTTATAAACTATGGTCCAAAAATGTTTCCTTACAAAAACTCGGGGTGTTGAAGTTTTATGAAAAAACAATGGAAATTAATTAATATTTTCAGAACCGCTTCAGATATTTCACTGATATTTAGTACGTAGTAGAAGTTAATAAAGTTGCATATTTTTCAATGCAAAAATAATTTTTAGCTTTAACAGTGGCGTGCGTACGGGTATTGACTTCGATATTTTTTAAGAAAAAAATGGTACGCCATTGGTTTTTTGACAAATAAAAATTATTTTTGAATTCTCCGTTCATTTAAACAAATGATCTCTCTTGAATTGTTTTCCTTCGATGCACCATTTTTGAGTAAAAAATAAAAACCGTTCTATTGTCTAACTTGCAAATTTATTATTAATTTAATTAGAAAAATTAAACATATTAGGGGTAATGAACAACAACAACTGACAACATAAACATAACATTAAAACCAACGAAATGATTACAAAAATTGTTGAAAATGGCCCCCTTCAATTAGTATGCATGCTTCCGCCCTCCTTCTCATGGAATTGCGCACTAGTTGAAATATCCCTGGAGTGTTTTTTATTCTATCAAAAGCTGCAACTATTCTTTCTCTTAATTCCTCTAGAGTGTTAATGGGACTTGTGTACACTAATGCCTTAAGATAGCCCCACAAAAAGAAATCTAAACTGTTGTCTGGGGGACCTTGGTGGCCATTCTTGGGGTCCACCGCGGCCAATACAACGATTTGGATAAACAGTTTGTAAATAATTACGAATCGCTACACTGAAATGCGCTGGTGCACCATCATGCATGTACCACATATTGTTTCTTATTTCCAATGGAACATCATCAAGCAGCAAAGGCAACTGTTGTTGAAGAAAATTGAGGTAAATCTGTCCGTCAAGTCGTCCCGGCAAGAAGAATGTGCCAATAAAGTGGTTGCCAATAATTCCTACCCATACGTTAACCGAAAATTGGTGTTGGAAATGAGTTTCGGTTACGGCATAGGGATTTTCTTCTGCCCACAAATGATTATTGTGGAAATTTTGAATGGCATTTCGACAAAAATTAGCTTCGCCCGTGAACAGAATTATTGATTCAAATTGCGGATTTTGTGTAATTTTTTGAAGATACCACTGACAAAAGGTCACACGCCTTGGAAAATCAATGGGAAGTAATGCCTGTACTCTTAAAATCTCACTAAAATTCTCCAAAAAATTTGATGTCAAATATTTAAGTGTCTATCGATCTTCCTCGTACTCGTTTCAGGATGTTCTTCGACTTCGTGCAGCACTGATTCCTCAAATTCAGTTGTTCTCACACTTAGAGGTCTACCTTCAGATGATCCTTTTCGGACAGAACCAGTTTCAACAAGACGACGATGAATATTAGAAAAGGTTCGACTATCTGGCAAAGCACGATCGGGATATCTCTGGTGATAAATCCGTCTGGCTTGCTCACCATTACCGTCGGCAAGGCCATATACGTAATGCATTTGCGCCATTTCTGCATTTGAATAATTCGCCATTATTAACAAGATTGTAAAAATTAAATAATGAAAAAAGATGACACAACGAACAGATTTAAATAACAGAGACTTGTCAGATGTGAAAAGCCAGTGACATATTCCAGACCAACTAGATATTTATTGCTAAATTGCATTCTTCAATTATTACATTAATTTTCTCGGACAATAGAACGGTTTTTTACTCAAAAAATGGCGCATCGAAGGAAAACAAGTCGAGAGAGATCATTTGTTTTAAATTGAACGGGAAATTCAAAAATAATTTTTATTTGGCAAAAAACCATTGGCATACCATTTTTTTCTTAAAAAATATCGAAGTTAATACCCGTATGCACGCCACTGTTAAAGCTAAAAGTTTATAAAGCAAAGTAACATTAATTTTTAATGTAGATTCACACCATTAAATATTAGCATATCATTAAGGAACACCCTGTATAATTGCTTCTTTCCAATATGTTGCTGATACTATTACATCTTTAAATTGATTTCAAATGTTGCTAGACTTACACCCCTGAGGTTTTAACAGCTTCTTGATCAATTTTTGTCAGGTTGGGCCGATGATCTGCATCTAGGTTGCTAAGTTTTACATTTCCTAACACAACAACGTTATCAAAGACATATGTTGTTTCATATTTCGGATCACTGCTTGTAGTCAAGTATCGGTCGAACTGGATGCCATTCAAATTTTCAGTTAACAGGTGGGGGATGGTAAGACCTTTGCGAAAGGTTACGTTTACTGGTATTTCCTGGAATTTATATAGCATTTTAAGTAAAGCTTCAAAAAGATGTCAATTTTACGGCTCATGTTATCAGTTTAGAACTCCAAAATTGATACATAACAGAAAATAGAAATTATATTTATTTACATGAACCTATAAAGTAAATAAATATGAAACCCCATTGATGGCAATGTCTGAGTATGGGTTATTACAAATATTTAAAGCGTTGTATGAATACATGAGACATTTTTGAAATAATTATTAAATTACATGCTTATGAATTTTAATACGAGGTTGGTCATTTAACCAAATCCTCAATATTTTTTTGCTTGTTGCAATTGCAACAAATGCTCTCATCCACGCTTTCGTTTTGAAACAGCATTTGGCTGCAACCTCAGCGACGACTAAGTTATCTGAAAATTTAAATCTTTTCCGTATTGGTCGCTAGCTTCATATTTGTGTTTCAGCTCCTGATGATGGCATCATAGCGCGCCGAAAGCGCGAGATTACCGTTAAAAGAGTTTACTAAAGCCTACAATTTTGCCAATTTCCCGATTAATAATTAATTGTATTTCTTGCCCAACTGTTCGTTGGAAATGGCAACGACTACTGCATATATATATATATATATATATGTATAGGTGAAAAATTAAAGCTTCCGCCTTTTGTTGGGTACTTCGACAAAATTTAAGCAAAGAGGACTCTTTATACTTTTTTAATTCTCTCTAGCTTTCAATGGACTTTGCCATCATCATCAGGAGAGTAGTATGTGAGGATGTTGCTAATTGTTGTTTACGTATAGGATGAGGGAAACGTCCAGTAACATGGTGAGAGCTGGATACATGGTACATTGGACAAAATTATATAAAATATGACAAGGACAAGTTAAAGACAGATTAAAAATTATTTAAAAAGCTTTAATTTTTCACCTAACTGGTCTAGACGACAATGACCACGTCTCAAGTTATATATATATATACAGGGTGACTTCGAAGTTGAGTCATTTATTTTAACAGTGTGTAGATCTGATCAAAAGAAATGTTTTTTTCCTTTACCATTTTTCTGGTAAAATTAAAGTAACAAAGTTATAGCCCTTTGGAAGTTTGAGTACCGCCCTGTCTCAATAATATCATGTGTTCGTGTTTGGCAACAACGGTTCATCGCATCGGAAACAAAAAAGCGAAAGAATTTGGAACGATGTTTTTACGATTACAATTCAGTTCAGTTATACATACAGTCAGTTTCAGTCGCGTGTGAATAGTGTCTGTTGCGTGGCTCAAACGAAATAAAAAATGGCACATGTTTATGCGGATCGGTTTCCCAATCGAGTGCAACCAACCCCTCGTGCCTTTGTTAATGTAGTACAACGGGCTCGTGAATCAGGTGACTTAAGACCTCACAGGGGACCTCACGATCAAATACAGGTCCGCACTGAAATACTTGTCGGGAGGATACTTTATAAAACAAGGTAAAATTTTTTTTTAATTTTTTTTTTATTTTTACACACATATTTTGGTTTATCTTCCTTCTACAATCATTATCTGAAAATTAATGACTCAACTTCAAAGTCACCCTGTATATCGAAGTTGAATCATTTATTTTAACAGTGAGTAGATCTGATCAAAAGAAATGTTTTTTTCCTTTACCATTTTTCTGGTAAAATTAAAGTAACAAAGCTATAGCCCTTTGGAAGTTTGAGTACCACCCTGTCTCAATAATAATATTATCTTCTCGTGTTTGGCAACAACGGATATAATCCGCCTTATCGGTTCATCGCATCGGAAACAAAAAGCGAAAGAATTTGGAACGATGTTTTTACAATTATTTTATTCAGTTGTATAGTCAGTGTCAGTCGGTAACGCGTGAGTGAATAGTGGTGTCTGTTGCGTGGCTCAAACGAAATAAAAAATGACACATGTTTATGCGGATCGGTTTCCCAATCGAGTGCAACCAACCCCTCGTGCCTTTGTTAATGTAGTACAACGGGCTCGTGAATCAGGTGACTTAAGACCTCACAGGGGACGGCATGCCGGTGCTCCAAGACCTCACGATCAAATACAGGTCCGCACTGAAATACTTGTCGGGAGGATACTTTATAAAACAAGGTAAACATTTTTTTTTATTTTTTTTTTATTTTTACATACATATTTTGGATTATCTTCCTTCTACAATCATTATCTGAAAATTAATGACTCAACTTCAAAGTCACCCTGTATATATATATATATATATATGAGCAGTAGTCATTGCCATTTCCAACGACCATATATATATATATATATATATATATATATATACATATATGATGGTATCTGTCGTTATCAATTAACCCAATGTTTCCGTCCTATTGGTTTTATAATTGTAACAAGTGCTCTCATCTCCACGTTCGTTTTGAAACACCATTTGGCTGCAACCTCAACGACGAATCCTGATGAAGGCTCCATAGAGAATTGCCGAAAGCTAGATTTTATCGTCAAAAGAGTCTAAAGCCTAAAAGTTTGCCTATATATATATATACGTATATATATATCCTTTAATTTCTTTGGGTAGAAGACAAAGCATTGCAAAAGTACACTCTTATAACTTAAACTCTCAAGCTTTCGAAGATCTATGTCTTTCTTCATCGTCTGGAGTAAGTCGGCAAGATTGTTGCTGAAATTGTTTTTAAACAACAGTGAAGGGAACACAGCTGAGTTTATCAAGGAGCTTAAATCAAAAATTTTGCGCAACATGCGCCATCTAGCTTCTCACGGTGTAACTTAAAACTGTCAAAGCTTCGAGAGGAAGAGGAAATATCATCTGTCCCCGCTCCATTCATTACCGGACCTCGCGAAAAAATCTTTACTGTCACAGTATGGCGCAACTGTTATTGAGAAAATGAAGATATCTTTTGACCTGCGTTTTGAACTATGCTAGTAGAGCTGGGAAAAGCCCTTATTCGTGGGTTGAAAGTTAGAATGAGAAGGAGAAGCCTGGCAGATTCGTCTAGCAGTCCTAGAGCGATGAACATGAAAGTCAGACCGATTATCAAAATACGTTGGTGTGGGAAGTGTCACAGATCACTCTGGTTAACTATGGAACTAACCTGTCTTGTGCTCTTAGTCCAATAAACTTTGGATATATCGGGATTTATTTCATGATCCGACACCAATATTTTTGTTCTGGGTAGAGTTTTCAGGTTTTTAAGGTACAGGTTCCCTTTGATTTTAACTTTCCCTGTGTAATGCTGAAGGCCCTTTTCTTTTGGCTCTAAAGTATCGCCATCTATGTTATTAAATAAGCTTTCATTCAATTTGCTGGCGACCTTGAGAGTGTCCAGTACGTTGAGTTCATCTATCGTGATAGGACCTGTAAAAATTTCGGTTATTTTGTTTTATTCAGTCACTGGGCCCTGAATATAGATATTAAGTTGATCGCATCCATGAACAAAATATTGCATTTAAATATATACTAAGTGACATATAAAATGCAACATCCAGAATTATTTATAAGTGATTTTTCTGTGCTGGTTTCATGTGTTCCATTGTTGTTTCATTGCATTATCATGGCTAGAGTTCGCAAACGCGGTAATTTACTCAAATTTCCGAGTTTGAGAGGGGTAAGATAATCCGGTTACGTGAAGCTGGATTTTCTTTTAGAGAAATCGCTAATCGGGTGAATCGAAACGAAGGTACTGTTATGAGATGTTGTCAAGCGTGGTTCCAAGAAGGCCGATATTGACGAGTTAGAGGTACTGGACGTAAACGACAGTCTACAGAGCGACAGGATCGTTATTTGAGGCAACTTGCACTCAGAGATCGATTCTCCACAACAAGGGCAGTTGCAAACCAGTGCTTTAATGCTGTCGGAACAGCAATAATAATGAGGACGGTATCGCCGAATAAGGTCTTTTGGACATATGATGGACAAAAAGCTCCGAAAAACATTTTTTTTCTAGAAAACTATGCGAGTTGGTTTGTTTTTATGAGAAACCAGAAATGTAAATAAAAGGATCGTTTAAATAAAAAACACAGAGTCGTCCGGAGATATGCGAAAAAATTCTGCTATAATTTATGTAGCGGTGGGGACAGTTTTCAGTTTCTTGAACCCTTTCGGATTTTTGTAAGAGTCAAATATCAGAAAGTCTAGCAGAACACCTGTCTTTCAAATTTCATCTAAATCGGACTATTGGTTCCAAAAATATCTGAAAATATGTGTTTTAAAAAGAAAACTTTGAAGACCTTTAACGTATAAACGGAACACTTGCATGTCCAATCAACTAATTTTGTGTCTAAAAATTCGTGCACGGAGTATTGGGACACCCTGTAGATTTGAGGTAGGAAGTGTTGAGCACCCTGTATAAATACGAAAACTTAGTCTATGCCATAGTTTTAGTTATTCTGAGTACATAATGATCATTAAATATTTCAAAAGTTGATAGACACTCGATAAACTTGACTTCATGAAGAGAAAAGAGGTATGGTTTGAGTATATAAGAAATACCATGAAATGAAAAAATACATGATCACAGGACAATACCGTGAAAATGACTACAAAAATGGCACGCGTTCTAGTGAAATAGTGTAAATTAGACTCACCCATGCATTCATAGAGTTTCAACTATATTCAAATTACCCTTACGTACAAATAATGAATACAACTTGAAAGTGTTTTCGGAGTTGCATCAAAATAAAAAGTAATGATTTTTCAGCTTACCAATGACGGTGTCTTCAAAAGTGACAGCATCAGTTGATAATCTAATGCCGTTTGTAATGTTAACATTGATATTTTTCACAAATATTGTATCGAAACTTATGTTCGATTTAATTACTTGATCCGTAGAAGTCGTCAGGAACTTGTCTACTGGTATTCCATTCAAAGTTTTCACAGTGAGGTTTCCAGTTTTCAGCTTAGAGATAAACAGAGGACCTGAAAATTAGGTGTTGTCTCAGTTTGTGCTGAGCGTTGAATATCATGATAATTGGAATACTATCATTGTATATATAGACGAAGCGAAAAGCTCAAATTCGTTGTAGAAATGTTTCAGGTATATCAATCGGATCCTTAGGGCTCACGCAGACAGAAAGCGCGCGACAGTCAGACCGCGCCGGTCAGTGTGAACGCTCGCGTTCTATTGTCAGAAATACAAACAACTCGTGGAACGCCTCGTTCGCAAGACGGCTTCCATGGAAAAATTAATTGATGTAGTAAGAGAAAGGTTTTTAGTAACGTAAACTATAAAATAGCTTTAAAAAAATGCAGCATGGCTTGAAATAGCCACGGAAATGGGAAAATACTGCAAATCTTTCTTTTGTAGATATAACCTTTCTCCCGATGGTGTTTTGCATCTCCATTTCCTTTTTTATATAATTATGTAATTCATTAAAACTACTTAATGACATTCGGAAGTAAATAAAAAATCCACCTCCAAGCAATGCAGGAAAAAGAACACTGAACTCTCCTTTTTCATTTCTCTCACAATTAATCGGATGCACCCAGTACAGACAAGCCGACGTCGAGTCCAGAAACAAATATAACGAAGCGGTTTGCAATGCCAAAAACCAGCACGATATAAAAGTTCGGTACAGGGTAATGTCGCAGCGCAATGGCAGTCGGTCTTTCTGGACGCTGGCCAAGCAGATTGTTAAGAACTTCTCACACAGAAGCCTTCCACCACTTACGTGTCAGGATGGAACTATTGTATTCGACTTAAATGCCAAGGCGGAAGTGCTAGCCAAGATCCTTGCTGCCAACTCCACCATGGACGTACCCCCAACGCCCAAGTGCCGTCAATTCAAAGGGTTCCCTACACTATGCGGGAGGTAACATTCAGGCATAAGACCGTAAAACGAGCGCTCCTGTCGCTCGACATCAGCAAAGCTTCTGGTCCGTAATCGATTCCTGCCATTGTACTGAAGAAGTGCGCAGCGGAGCTTGCTCCAGTTCTTTCGCGTCTCTTCCAGATATCTTATGAATACGGCACCTTCCCAGAAAATTGGAAATTTGCTCATGTCCAACCCATCCCAAAAAAAGGATCTAAGACCGACCCTTACAACTACAGGCCTATAGCTCTGCTTTCTGTTATAAGTAAGGTGATCGAGAGGTGCATAAATCACGAGCTTCTGGACTACCTCGAATGTCACAGCTTGATTAGCGACAGGCAGTATGATTTCCGGCACCAACGATCCACAGGGGACCTCCTAGCTTACGTCACGCAATTGTGGGTTAAACTCATCCAGTCTTATGGTGAGGCTCATGTCGTTGCTCTTGACATCACGAAAGCGTTCGATCAGCTGTGGCACTCTGCCCTCTTAAGCAAACTTCCATCCTATGGCCTCCCAGAAAAGCTTTGCAGATGGGTAGCTGACTTCATCTTTGGCCGCAAGATATTCGTCGTAATTGACGGGTTTTCCTCTTCATTCCACAATGTCAACGCGGGTGTTCCCCAGGGATCGGTCTTGGCTCCGACACTGCTTCTCTTACATATCAACGACCCCCTTTCCTGCACGATCAACCCAATCCACAGCTTCGCTAATGACAGCACTTTACATGCAGGAATTCAGAGTGACAAGCCGATCACTGCCGCTGAGCTAGAAAAAAGAAGACTCGAGACGACTTCCTCTCTTACAAGAGACCTGGAGGCTATCACTGCTTGGGGACGCAACTATCTTGTACAGTTCAATGTTTCCAAAACACAGTACTGTACTTTGACGAACAAAAAGCGTCTTAACGCTTATCCGGTTTCGACGGATGGCCGAGTTTTGCCAAAGAGCCATTCATTCCGGCTGGTCGGAGTCTAGATCACCGAGGCCCTGATCTGACACGAACACATCTCGTCAATAGCTGCAGCTGCTGGGAAAAAGCTAGGCTATTTGTTTAGGGCTAAGAAGTACTTTTCTCCGCATGACCTTCTCACTCTATACAAGGCCCAGATAAGGCCTAGCCTCGAGTATTGCTCACACGTTTGGGGTGCTGTCTCCCTGACTACATTATCCATGCTCGATGCTGTCCAGAGGAGGGCGGTCCAACTGATCGATGACTCTTCTTTAACAGACAGTCTCGGGACTCTGTCGCACCAGCGGGCCGTCGGCGATCTAGCTCTTTTCTACCGCTACACCAACGGGCTTTGCTCCTCAGAGCTCTCTCCCATGATGCCGCCGCGCGATGTGCCCGCCTGACCTTGGCATCCCATCCTAATTAGTGTCGCGGTGTTCCGGCATTTAGGCTTCTGCCTGCGCGGCTGTTTCGATATAAAAAAAATAAAAATCGTTTTTCCTTATTAGACTCTTCCAAACTCCACGAAAGCAATACTTCGTCTTCTGAACACGAAATATGCAAATACCTGTTTCACCTACAAGTAATCTTCGTAAAATGGAACGCAGTGTTCGTGACTGCCTCCTATCTGTGTTAGAACTGGTAAGAAGAATTGACTGGTTGAACGCGGCTTGAACGCTTGAACGCTAATCTGTCTGTGCGAGCCCTTAATCGCCTATAACTCGAAAACGGTCATCTTGAGATGGTTGATGAGGAGATTTTTTTTTCAGAATGATCCAAAAATCTAAATTAACCAATCATATGTAACCCGTTGACAAAATAGTTGAATCAAATTTGCAACGGGTCACCGCCAGGAAACTTCTTGATTAGTGTTAAGCCGCGTACAGACCGAAATTCCAACGCAAGCAAAGGCACATGTTGTGTTTACAGACTTGGAGGTGTTCGAATCAGTGTGTACGGCGCGAGCCAACATAACGGTTTCTAAGGTCGGCGTTAGCGTTCGATGGCGTTCGCTCCTTGATCGGTGCATCAAAGGGAGGTTTGATTTGGTCTGAACAGGATTTGTTGCATTTGATGAGAGGAGACTCGTCGCTCGATCACGGCGTGAAATCGCGGCGCGGATCGCGGTGCGAATCCCAAAGACTGTTCCTACAGTTCCACATTTGCAGATGTTCGCGCCTGCTTCACAGTGTAGTTCGCGCTTTTGAAGAGTATGGACGGTGAAATTGCTACTGCTGCTGCAGGGCTACTTTGCGCTTTGGCAATTTATAATTACGCATATATAAGTAAAACTAAAACAATTGAAAAGAAGTGGAAAAAACATAACCACTCCCGGCTCTCGCTATGAGGCAACTGAGCCACCAGCGAATGAGGAGCCTAGTCATATTCGCGCCTTGCGAACCCTTTGTCGCTGGATAAAAAACCGACAACAAACGGGAACAACGCGTGTACGCGACGTGAAGCCGCGAAGAACACGCGAATGTGATCTACACTCATGGGTCGCGGGTAGTTCGCGGCTTCGCGCGCGATCCACGCTTGAGTCTGGAGAGGGTATAATACCTTCCAACAACAAACGCCAAGTCACATGTGCTTGCATTCGTTTGCTCGGAGTTTGATTTTCGGTCTGTGCGCGGCTTTAAGACGCCTCTAAAAATTTCCTCCCAATATTGCGGTTTTCGCGTGCAATAATAAAGTTTTTATTTAAATTTAGATTTGAGCTGTATGTTTGCAAAATTATCTGGTGCGAATAGATATTGAAAAAAAAAAACCTATATCTTCAACCTCACTTACCATCAATATGAGTTGTGTTTCCTACTACAAAGACGGAATTGATAAATTCATTCCAGTTTACACCATTGATTTCTTCAACAAATAGATTTTCTATTTCGACATTTCCGTCTGGTATAGAAAGTGGTTCTACGAACTTCTGCAGCTGTTTAAAAAACATAATGATTCCATACAAGCTGGTTTCAAAAAAGCAAGCATTTTGAACTCATATAGTTATATAGTACTTACGATTTGGTTATTATTTTCAATGATATCTTTATCATCTGCATCTGTGCTAATACCATTATTTGCTTTTAAACTTTTCAGTTTGACAGCTGCTGAGATTACCTGGTCGCCATCTTTTAACAACATATCTGAAAGCCATAGTAGAGATTGTGTATTATTAGTTAATGCCCCGTATTTATAATTAGCTCAAGCCTAAATACAACATATAACCTAAAAACTCCTTCAGGCTTTAAAGAAAAATACCTTTGAATAGACCGTCATTTTCCGAAGTATACAAATTGGTCGCGGTGATATTTTCTATTTTTACTGGACCGGTGATAGTCTGAGGTTCTTTGTATTTCAACCATTCCTGAGGTACCCACTTCTGGCCGTTAACTCTTTGGAAATCTAGTTTTTTGGCTTTTAGTTTATTAGTGGTTACGGAACCCGCAAATGTCACATTTCCATTAATAATCTGAAATTGGAAAAATAAGACCTGCATTCCAGGAATTCCAAAATATTTACTGGTACGATTCCAATACAAGTTTATACCGGCATATTGGTCCAGGAAGTATCTTCTCATCAGTTTGGAAACATACTCCAATTTGTTTTTTGTATAATCTTATACCTGTTAACGGATCTGCATGTTGACACCCAAATTTTCTTTGAATATTGCAGAATGTGCCATTTTCGAAAAAAATGGCGTCAAGTAGGTTGCCTCTGCCTTTCTCACGCAACGCCGTTATAAAGGATATGTTCAGCACAAACATGTCCATTCGGGAAGTTCTTGACCGACTTTTTGAGAACACAGGGTTCGATCGGTATAGTTCTTTCACTTATCCACTTATACAGGAAAAGGGAGTCAGGTTTTTTGCAAAGTTTGGGGCTATGTCAGATTCTCAATTTTTGATCTTGGAAATTTTTCTATGCATCTTTCTGATCTTTAAAATTTTTCGAAAGTTGGCTCAAATTATAAATTTTTGAACTTGGAACTCAATATCTCAGTTGTCTTGAAGCTTTGGAATATATGTTATCAAAAAACATACTTATTACTGTCTGACCTAGACGCGCTGTAAAGGTCATTCCCATCTTTGGGGACAGCCTGTATTGGAAACGTACCTTGCAAAGCATTGTACAGGGTGGTCCATAAAGGTGTTGGCAATTTCAATATTCAATTAAAAAATAACTGCACAATATAAAAGAAAAATAAATGTATTTTTAAAAAGTAGAAATATAGGTATTTTTAAGACTTAAAAATAATGTTGTTCAAATGACTTCCTTGGCACTCTTGAAACCGAAGCTGCAAATTTTGGAAAACTCGTTAAGAAGCTGTTCTTGGTTTGTTACTTTCCTGAACAATATTCGTCTTCAGCTGCTCTAAATTAGCTGGATTATTCTCGTAGAATACCGATTTGAGGTAGCCCCATAGAAAATAATCGCATGGAGAAAGATCGGGGCTACGTGGTGGCCGTTCAATATCCCCCCTTTTCAAAATGAGTCTTCCGGGAAAGACATTTTTCAGCAGCTCTAAATACCCTAGCTGTAAGACATGTGGCTCCATCTTGTTGAAACCACATTCTAGAGGTATTGCCTTGGAGTTCTTGCAAAGTTGACACCAAAAAGTCTGTTATCATATTGCAATAATTGTTAGCTTTAACTGTCATCGCTTGGCCTCTTTCGTCCTCAAAAAATAATACCGGTTGACGTAATTCCAGCCCACCGACTAGTTTAGGGCTGTCAAGTGGACGTTCATGCAAGCATCGGGGATTAGTTTCAGACCAGAACTGACAATTTTGTTTGTTAACATGGCCATTGAGGTGAAAATTGGCCTCATCACTAAACATCACGTTGTTAAAACTGTTGAATCGGTCGAGCATCAAATTGACAAAGATAAGTTGGTTATTGGCATCATCTGGTTTTAATTATTGGACTAGTTGAATCTTATAACCCTTCAAATGCAAATCACGCTTCAAAATTCGCCGCAAGCTCGTTCTTTTGATGTCCAAAGCCTGACTCTACATTGTCGGCTGATCTTGCAGAAATTGGACGACCACGAGCTGTTATTGCTACTGTCGAGCCGGTTGTTTTGAACATTCTGATCCATTTCCGTATCACATTGGCGCTTGGAACTTCTCTTCAATCGCGTAAACCGTGTTCGGCTCCATGGCGACTAAATTTCCAGGCAACAGCGCAGCTAAAAGCTTATCCCCCGACCCGCGCCCCGCGTTTCCGAGAAATTTATACTTTAAATCGCCAACACTGATATGGCCCACCCTGTATAACATTCTGAGTTGATTTATATTACTAAGAGCCTTACCAAGTTATTTCCATCACTAGAATTATATTTGCTTATTCTATCTTGCTGTTTTTTCAGTGTTTCCTTTATGTTCAATATAAGTGTGTCTATATCCGCTTCCTATTGAAACAGAAAATTGCATCAAAAAGGTTAACTCTGCACTTCTCACGTCCCGCGGTCATCAGTTCAGATAGGATCATGTTCAGTACAAATTAGCATCTTTGAGAAAAAGGTTATCTATACGTATATGTATAAAAAACTAAGTGGATCAAATCAGTCAAAGTGGGCCTTTAATTAGTTCATAGTTCCCACCCATTTGACAACGTGGCGAACTGTAAATGTTTCCCCAAACCCAGCGGCAGTATCTAGAAACAAGATTTATCGAAAATCACTGATTAAAAGGAAAAACGCCGAGTCACATCAAAAAATTTGTCAAGAGGGAACACTTTTTAATTAAAAACTACTTCACCCCCTTTCACCCTCGGCCCCAAGGGCCATTCCCTTAGAAATCATAAATGACCAGGGGTTTCAAGTAATAGCTTGTTTGAAAGGTATTTCGAAGTCCTTTATTTTGACGTTTGATTTTTTAAATCAGTCGACTCGTTTTCGAGAAAATTAGAAAAATCTTTATTTATCTTAATTTGTTCAGATAGAAAACAAAAACACGAAAATATCACTTTTTATCTCAATAAGTGTTCAAAGTTTTGCCCATTAGGGTTTGCCAAATCTACAATTCGTTTATAATTTAAAACGTAAACTACCGACATAAACAGCAATTCGGAAGACTAGACGTGGCAATAACCAAATAACAACCCGAATTTTCCGTATACTTTTCATCAGCACAGTTATCCTGGGCAAACTGTAATTATTGTTATACCTATTTAGTTATTTGTTGCTAAGAGGAAGAAAGAATTTAATTTTGCTGCCTGTTACCTTTGTGACAATCTTGGGATAGTGAAAATTTATTGATTCAGATTTTACTTCCAAAATGGTTTACACACTAGCCGAGAGAGTGGAAATGATTCTAATTTATGGTGCCCAAAATCAATGTGCTCGGCAAACTGCCGTCACGTTTAGAGCCAGACATCCGAGAAAGATAAGTTCGCATAGGTATGTTTTGGATCTTGTTACTAAATTAAATAAAAAAACGCGATCATCGGAGAGTTTTGGATGAAGCCGCTCAAGTTGATGTTTTGGGTCATTTTTAAATAAATCCTGATACTTCATTACGCAAAAATGTTGCTGCGACTGGTATTCCATTAGGCTCTGTACACACAGTTACTAAACTCCATAAATGTCATCCATGGAATGGCCTGCTAGATCTCCTAATTTGACGCCATTAGACTATTTTCTATGAAGCAATTTGGAATCTATATTGTTTACTACCCAACCTGAAAGTTTGGATGAACCTCGTCAACGCATCATCAAAAGCTGCCATATGCAATATCATTTAGGGATTCCATGAAGGATTTGGGCTTAGCGGTTGACTCTAAAGTTTAGAGAGCACATTACTCTGTGCCTAAGAAAAGCATATTCAGTCTTAAAAATAATTTACCCCCATAGACATTACCTATCGCAAAATACTAAAGCCACGCTCTGCGAAGCTTGAGTGTTGTCCCACTTCAACTTTGCTGATATGGTATATGGCCCATTTCTTGATAGTGTGGAACTGAAACGGGTTCAAAAAGCTCAGAATTCTTGTCTGAGACTGATATTTGGTATAAGGGGTAGACAAAGAGTATCCCACAAACTACCTGAACTGGGATGGTTGAATATGGCTCAGAGGCGTACCTTGCACTCTACTTCCTTTTTTTTTGCAAGATTATAAAATATAAAAACCCCCCTTGTCTTCACTTAAAAATTAGTTACCGGACTGATGTACATAATCTAAATTTGAATTTGATTACAATACCATCACACAATAAAGAATCATTCTCATATCAAATTGCCTTTTTGGTAAGTAAATTTGGAAATGAAAGACTTTTATCTCTCGGTAGCTACATTTAAGTGGAACCTTAAAAGTGATTTACTGTCTCAGATATCATAGAAAACATATCTCCTCCCTTTTCTCTTCCTCTCTTTCCCCTCGCTTTCTCTTCTCACTCTAAAGTTCCATTTCTCTACTTACTATACTTCGCTATATTTATTAATATCAAAACATTATTAATTTTCAATGTGTTAATAGCCATTTGCATTATTATAGAATGTTTTAAATTTGTTTGTTTTTTTTTGCTCTAGCAGCTGCTTCTTTAAGGGGCAAGCTGATGTAGCCCTTTATTTTCTGAAGGCTTTTTGTTTATAAACTTTTATATACTGTTTAATGATACTGTTTAATGAGGGTAATTATTATTATTATTATCATTATTATTATTTTTATTTTGAAAGTGTCCGTCATTAATTTGAACATCGCCAATATCATTGTTTGGCGAATAACGGGCAATATTTTGAAAACGTATTGAAATAAAAAGGGATATTTTCGTGTGCTTTTGTTTTCTCTCTGAACAAATTAACGTAAATGAATGAATTTTCTTGAAAAAGAATTGATCGATTTTAAAAAATCAAACGTCAATTCTTTCAAACAAGCTATTACTCAATACCTCTTGTCATTTGAAATTTTTAAGGGGAGATCCCTGGGGGCAGAGGGTGAAAGGGGAGAAGTAGTTTTTGGCTAAAAAGTTATCCCCCTTGGCAAGTCTTTTGACGTGTCTCGGCGTTGTTTCTTTTAACCAAGGGTTTTCGATAAATCCGTGGTAGGGAGTTTTCAAATGAACACCCTGTATGTCCTATGTGTTCGGCTCTTTTTTTATACCGAAGGGTACCGCGGCTGCTATAAAGATCTTTTTCAGTATGACCTCATTTCTGTTACAAAACATGGAAAAAAGCTTACTGCTGTGAGGCTTTGACTGACAAGCTCATCAACTTCATGTGATGGTTTGATTCCTACAAGCTCGGTTTCTGCGAGCTTTAATTTCATGCTATATGCTCTTCCCTCTAAGCTGTTGAAACACTTCCTTATGACATCAACTTCCTCAGTTTCAGAATCTGCAAATAAGATTAAAATAATAAAAGTTTTACGATCTTCACGAAACTTTGCTACCTGTTCCGTCTGAGTTTATTTTGAAAGATACGACTTGGATAACCACGCTGTTATCTATGCTCTTTCCGACGACAAAGCTCGTAATGTTTCCATTATTTTCTCTGTTATGGATAGAGTGAATATCCAAGAAGGTCGTTATGTATGTCGATACTGGTATCGGATTAAGTTTTCCTGGTTTTACGTAGTATACTTCCAGTTTATTCTGAAAATATGAAGTCAAGTAAACTAATTTAGAAGTTGGAATAATATAAATCTGTTTATTTTGTTGAATTTCGAAGTTGCACTCAAACTTTTTTGAGGTTGCATTGGTGAATTTCACAAACTTTAGAAAATTAGAATTGTGAAAATTTTGACTACACAGTCGTGATTTGTCATATTTGCAGCTTGAAGATGAGACTTGTCAAGCTTTAAAATTGTCGGGCCAATTAGATTTTTTTTACATAGGCCATAAAGTTGTAGAGCATTGGCAGTGGAATCTTGGACCTTTCAGTTTTCTGATCTCCAAAACTATGTTTTAGCCTACGTCAAAAAGTCATGAAAGTAACAGAATCTTAAAGACGTTCTATCAAAGCTTTTTCGTCCTTGGAAAAATTCTAGTGGTACTTTCACAAGTTTTACAAATGAATTACTAAAGTGTGATACGACTCGCCTTTAAAAACGTACCTATTTCTCAAAAAACTTACCAGCTGCGGGTTTATCATTATTGATCGGTTATCAACTCTCAAAATCTTGCCATGAGTACTATTAGCTGCCGTTGTGAATTTAAAGGATTTTCTTATATGTGAAACTGCAAAAATAATAGTAAAAGTTCGGTAAAAAAAAAAGTGGTGTAGACCTACCTTCCCAGAAATATACAGAGTGGTTGCCTGATGTCTCATAAATACTTAAATGTTGTCGATTATCTTTTTTGAATACTTCAAGATGTGTGGAATTTTCATTAACTGGGACGTACTGGAGTTTTCTTAGATTGCTGTTGTAGAATTCATATATTTGGATGTACGTCTGAAATTTTTTTCGTAAAAAGAAAAATCACTATAATGCTGCGTACAAGCATATCGCTTTAAAGGATCGGGGCCTATAAGCGGGGATTTTATCACTAAAAGCTCCAATTTCATGTTAAAGCAAGACCTTTTATCTATAACTTTGGTATCTTACTGTGTTTTATTATAGATTTGAAGTATAAAATGTTGCGACAATGCGCGTATATACATATAACTTGAATATTTCAAAATGGGCGGATTTTTGACACAAAATTGAGAAGCTTGACATTCAAGAATATACGAGCCCCTTCCCATTTCAGTTGCCCCACTTCAAGAGTTGTACCAAAATATGCCTTTATAAACTAAACATGACGAAACTATTTACTTCTAAAACAATTTATTTGCTCAAAAACATTTTAGATACACTCTATTCATAAAAAATACATACCTATTTGAAATCACTTAGACCTATAACTAATAGAACATCTGAACAAATAAACAATGTGCGAATAAATGCGCGAAGTTAACAAAACAACAATTGAAAGATTACCATTGGGTAACATCATCTTTATTTTTTATTACGGCTGAAATTCTTTGGGGCATAGTGTTAACCAAGTTTTGGCAAAAATTTGGTGTAAAACAATCCCTTATTTCTTGAAGCTTTTATCTCAGTTCGGTGATTGTACGAGCAGGATGTTGTCGTAGAACCTTTTTCATCTCGTGCCACAAAGTTTCAATAGGTGACAGATCTGGACTGCTAGAAACCCATTTTAAAAGTGGTACATTATTTTCTGCCATCCATTTTATAGCCTTTTTTGAGGTATGGCACGCTGCACATCTTGCTGAAACACAAAATCTTGGCCGGATGTCAAACATTCTTCCATCACTGGTAAAAGCGATTCTTCTAAAATTGCCAAATATTTGTTTGTATCCACCTTTCCATCAATAAAATTAAGTTTTCCTACTCCTTTTGATGACATATTGCCCCAGACCAAATGTATGCTGGAAATTTCACTTTTCTCTTCAAACAGTCAACATGGAATGCTTCATTGTTTTTGCGAAGAACTCTACTGCGACAGTCGCCAACACAAACTTCGAATCGGGCCTCATCACTCCATTGTATTGCACACCATTGTTGAGGTGTCCGTTGTCTATGTTCTTTAGCCCATCGAAGCCGATTTTTTTTGCAGTGAAGTTAATAGTGGCTTTTCTTTGGCCTATAAACAACTTGTGCAACTTTATGGTTTTTACTTCACTTTTTTTTATAAGAAAACTTACCTTGCAAATGCTAAATCTCAGTTTGTGGGCCTCTCTATGAGTTGTGGACCTCGAAATTCTCCTTCCAACAGCGTCACTCCACAGAGCACTTAATTGTAAATAATTGGCACCCCTGTTTTTCACGATTATTCTTCTTAATGCTATTCGGTCGGCATTTATGATATTACTTTTTTTCACATATCGTGGCTTAATATTAACTGAACCAGTTACGTTATATTTTCTAACAATATTTCTCACACTGTACCGCGATAAGCCTAACAAAGTTGCTATTTCTGAGTTTGATTTCCCAGAATTAAAAAAATTAATTATCAATAACCGAATTTTCTCACTAATAACCTTTCCTCTACCCATTTTGAAAACCTTAACTACCCAAAACTATTTTAAACGTATTCTGACAGCTGTGATTAATAAAAACAATTGTCATGGCTTTTATTTTTCACAGCCACCTATGCGTTATAGACTTATTTTGCATTGAAATGAAAATAGGTAGATATGCTGTAATTGCAACATGTGTTATTTTTATGCCGCAAATTTTATCAGGGAGTGATAAAGTTGGTGTTTTCTACTATATGCTATCAAAATATTCATCGTTAATATTTTAAACCTATAATACCCTGCTACATTTTTATTATTTGTGTTTGATAAGAAAAAAACTAAGATTTCAATAGTTGGGCCAACTGAAGTGGGAAGGGGCTCGTAATCAACTACCAAAATAAAAACAAACAAAAACATTAAACTTCAAAATAAATACAGTGCTTTTCATTTTACGAAAGGGTCATGGTAGGGGTAGGGAGCTGAAATTTGTTGATGCATGAGTAGTAATTCTACTGAAAAATAACTTAAAAAGGCAGCTGAGTGTCATCTTGTAACATTCATTCAACTGGATTGGAGGTTCATGGGATACCACTTTAAAGCTCTGTATATGTACTTCCTGAAACTTAAAATCTTTATACTTCAAAATAGCGGACTGGCGGCATGTCAAAGTTGAGCGTTTTTGTTTACTGAATCACTTATTTATAACTCAAAAACTAATCATTAGAACCTTCTTGTATTGGAAACGTCTGAATGTGCAGTAAAATATCAGCAGATATTGCGTTTAAAAATATTGGCAGATTTTGATAATTTTTTAACGAAAGCTAATACAAGAGTGTTAAAAGTATTCCACAATGGTGCCCAGCTGCCACCGCCCCCCCCCCCCATCCCAACTGTTATTTTTACGCTGAAACATAGTATTCATATATCAATTTCATTACTCCTAATTTCTGCTTTCTAACTTCTAAAAAATAAGGATTGGGGGCCTTTTTGTAAGCACCATACATTCTGATGCATTTAAATGTAAATATTTTACAGATGGAGTAATCCTGAATTATCTTCAGCGTCCGAAACCTCGCTTATAAACCATGACCCTTTATATACAGGGTGTCTGCAAAGTTTGGACTTTACACAGCGTATAGATCTTAAAAGAAATACGTGGTTTTTATATAGTAGCATATAGAAGAAAGTCTTAAGATAACCGAGATATTGGGCTCCGCAAAATCAATCAAATCTAAACTAAACCTAATCAGCTCCTGTATGTCGATCAGATCCAGTCAGTACTCAATCCAGCCGCCGCAAGCGTAGGTAAAATTTGTCGTCATGATTCTAATTTATGGTGAGCGTCTTCAAAATGTTACCGAGGCTTCGCGAGTGTATTTAAATCGCTCTTCCAGACATTGTCATTCAGGGCCATGTATATTTGGTCACCATGAGCATTGAGCTAGGGATATAGCTCGCTTTCTTGGAATGGTGCAAGCAGATGTAGGAATTTTGTAGAAGAAAATCCTTCAATAAGCACTAGGGAAGTAGCTAGACGAGTGCAAGTCTGTGGAAAACGTTGCGTGATGATGGATTGTACGCTTTTGTATACGCCCTCCAAGCTCATTTTTCTGCAAGAGTGCATTTTTGTGACTGGATGTTGCAGTCCATATTAGGACGAATAAAGCTTTACGCGGAACAAGGTGAATAAGAATACTCATGTGTGGTCATTAGAAAATCGTCAAGTAGTCCGTCGGTCACATTTTCTCCAAACATTTTCTTTGAATTTGTGGCTGGCATAGTAAATTGTACGAGCATTGGACCTTTTCCCGAATCGGTCGGACGGTTTACAATTGAACGGTTCCGGGGAATAACGACAATAGTCCATCCGGACTGATTTTGAGAAAATCGGTAATCAAGGTTTACTTACTTGTTGGACGTAAAGAATATCTTTGCTAAACAGTGTGTTTATTGGTAAAATAGATTTTACAAAATGAACTTTTACTCTCAAAACTAGTAACGTAACAAACAAAAGATGATGATCAACTCTGGACTCGTGTCACTTTTCCCCTGCTTTAAGCGTCATCGACATGTTCATCACTGCCGTCTTCTGGATGATCAAGAGATATCAACTGTTGATAAAATGCCCTGGAATCTGCACTCTCTAGAAATTTGGTCAGCTCCTGCAGATCCTTCCATTTCTTATTTTTAATTCGGATTGGGCCCTGGTAAAGTTTTCTCAATGTTTCCTCTTCTCGTTTTTGTTGATCTCTTTGCGTCTTTCTTAGATTCTTCCTAATTACCTTATCAAATTTAGAACTAGCATATAGGCCCATGTATGTCGATTTGTGAAAAACTACGTGAGGATTCTGTTTACAATACTTGAGCATCCTGGCTAGTCGGGTTGGAAAGGGGCACTTCGTTGGATAAAAACGTACTCCAATTTCGAAAATCAATTTTTTGCCACAATCAATGACTTCAAATGATGTAGGTTTCACACGGCTTTTTCAATTCATCTCTCCTGTCATCCGGTACCTCAGTGTATGCTCTTTGGTTCACGAGACTCATATCTCTAACCTATCACACTCGAGGTATGAATGCCCCCTCATCGGGAATATGACTTTCACAGTAGTAAAACGATTTTTCTTGGTAACCAAGTAATGCAAAAACCGAATAACTGTAGTAACCAAGTTTTTATTTTGCCCTGCACTGGAGTCACAGAAAATGGCAAGTTCTTTTACTTGCTTAGGCAGGATTTTAACAAAAGTGATACAGCATAGAATAGACATCGTCACTTCCTTTCTTAGCAATAGATTCATCGTATAAAAGATAGAATTTGAGTTTGACAGAAGGTGGATGTTAAAATTGATGAAATTCAGTTGCCGCTTATAGTAAACATCATTTGTCGTTATATTTGGACAGGGGACGTTTTTTTGGTAATCCATCGTGATACTTTCGATAGCGGGGAACTTCGAGGCACGTTTGCGGTAAGTTCTCTTTACACTGTAAAATCGCTCACCCCCTTTTTGATGTAGTGTCTTCTCAAGTATCTTTTTCTACAAATTATTACTTGCTGACTGCCTAGTTTGTTCCGTGTGAGAATTTGAGGTAGCGGTAAGTTCTCTTTAGACTGTAAAATCGCTCACCCCTTTTTTGATGTAGTATCTTCTCAAGTATCTTTTTCTCCAAATTATTACTTGCTGACTGCCTAGTTTGTTCCGTGTGAGAATTTAAGGTAGCGGTAAGTGAAGATATATCAGCTTTTAAGGAATCACACGTACTACAAGTATCTTTTCGTGGATAACCGACCGATATATTGGAATTGTTTTCAAATATTTCTTGGAAGTAGTCATAGGAAATCTTGTTTTCAACATTGTCAATAGAATATATTTTGTGTAATTTTGCGATATTTAGATTTTCAGGTAGGTAAACTTTTTGCGAATCTGCCAAAGAATAATGAGATTTGCGGCTTTGAGGCTCTTAATAAACTCGGTCTCTTTCTGTTTTGTGTTTTCTGAAAGTTTGTGAAGTCGTGTGTTGTGTTTTTCACGCATGTCGATGGGCGTTTTCGCAGTTGCAACTAATGAGTCTCTTATGTACCGAACTCGACGAACTGTAATTCCGACAAAAAAGCCTTAAGATAAACTGGAAAATCACGTATAATTCCATTTTCAACCAATGGGACACAATAACTAAATGAAGCATTATTAAGCCTTGACTCTGCTTCATTTTTTCAAGGGGGTCTACGCATGACAGGAAGAACAGTGATAAGACCACTAAGACAAGCGTTTTGTGCATTAGTGTTTCCTAGTGTATTAAACTCACGAAGAAGTCTACAGCGTTCTGGTTCAGGAACAGTAGTAAAACAGCGAAAACGTTCACAAAAACAATCATATCCAAGTTCGTGGCGCGCAACGTTTTCATTACGTCTATTTGTCTTCCTGTTTTTTTGCGTTTCTTCGTTTCCCTGCTTGATGGGCCTGGTTCATTTTCACTTGAAACTTAACAGTCACCATCCATTATACACAATATCCGTATTATAAACGATACTAAGTGACATATAAATCCGAACACCCAGTTTAAATGGTTTTATTTTAATAAAAGTTGGTGAATGTATTTATCTTACTGTAAATAACAAGTGAAAAAATGTTCAGCCTTATCAGTTGGACATTCCGGTTTTTATACTGCTTTTTTTTAATTCACTAACGCTCTAAAAATGAATATTTCAGCCGCAGTAAAGAATCAACGTTGGCGAATTTTGGTTCTTGACATCCTTTACGATCGGTTACGATGCCCAGAGTACAGAGACCTGTACGATTTCGTCAACTTAGTGAGTTTGATAGGGGCCGTATAGTGGGACTTCGGGAAGCTGGACTTTCTTTTCGGGCAATTGCAGTTAGAGTGCAAAGAAGTGTAGACACTGTGGTTAGGTGTTGTCAGGCGTGGCTTCGAGAACGCCGTACGCAAAGAGCAAGGGGCACTGGACGCCGCCGTAGAACAACAGGCCGTGAAGATCGCCGCCTAAGATTATTGGCCTTAAGGGACCGTTTCTCCACTACCAGGTTCATTGCAACTGAATGGTTTGCAGAACATGGAAGACCTATTGGCATGCGAAGTGTTTACCGACGAATGAGAAGTTTTGGCTTGTTTTCATACCGGCCATACTGGGTCCTCTCTTTAACTCGAGAACACCGACGTAATCGCCTTGAGTGGTGCAGACAACGTCACTCTGGGATCAGGAATGGAACAGTATTGTCTTTAGTGACGAGTCTCGATGTTGTTTAGGCATGCACGATGGTCGTGCCAGGGCTAGAAGGCGACGTGGTGAAAGGAGGAATCCACAGTTTTTTGTTGAAAGACATGTTCATCACACTGTTGGAGTTATGGTTTGGGGTGCTATAGCTTATGGTTCCAGGTCACCTTTAATCTTCATCAGAGGTAACATGAACGCGCAGCGTTATATCCACGAAGTTCTAGAACCCCATCTTTTACCCTATCTTGACACCCTGGCAGATCCAACTTTCCAACAAGATAATGCCCGACCACATGTTGCAAGAGTCACAATACACTTCTTTCAACATAATGATGTCACATTGTTACCATGGCCACCAAAATCTCCCGACTTATCCCCAATTGAGCACGTGTGGGATATGATGGGTAGGAGATTGCTCAATTTGCAACGTCCTCCTCAGACTCTAGAAGCACTTCGAGAGGAGTTGGTGGTTGCCTGGAATGAGATTTCACAGGAGGACATTGACCACCTGATCAGAAGCATGCCTAGGCGCGTTGGAGAATGCGTAGCACATCAGGGTGCATCCACACATTATTAAAGGTCAAAGGGCTTTAAAGCAGTGCAATCATTTTGAAATTTTTATCATTTACTTATTATGCTTCGTTAAGTACTTATACAAAATTTTATTAAAATAAAACCATTTAAACTGGGTGTTCGGATTTATACGTCACTTAGTATAAATTAGCGAATATAGTCAATATTAATAATAGTAAACTAATGGCTGATGCAATAACGAAGCGCCCAAGCGGTACGGCCGATGCAAAGCCGCCTTTCCATATGGACTGGTGCCGTTTTTCCATACACGCGCAGGGACTCATGCCATTCTTCCCCGGCACAGGGAATCTTATACACATTTGGGGTGCTGCCGCCCCGACTACATTGTCCATGCTCGATGCTGTCCAGAGGAGGGCGGTCCGACTGATCGATGACTCTTCTCTAACAGACAGCCTCGGGACTCTTTCGCACCGGCGGGCCGTCGGCGATCTAGCTCTTTTCTATCGCTACACCAACGGGCTTTGCTCCTCAGAGCTCTCTTCCATGATGCCGCCGCGCGATGTGCCTGCCAGACAGACCCGCCTGACTTCGGCGTCCCATCCTAACCGTGTCAAACTTCGTACATCCAGAACTGGCCGATACGACCGCTCCTTTGTCCCGAGGGTGTCTAGATTGTGGAACAAACTACGGGAGGAAGCTTTTCCCAGTTCTACTAACCTTAGGCAGTTCAAAAATCGTATTAACAAAATTTCTTTGGGATCATCATAGCAGCCGCGGTGTTCCGGCATTTAGGCTTCTGCCTGCGCGGCTGTTTCGATATAAAAAAAAAAAAAAAAAAAATAGCTGTTGTTTCGTGAACCTAAGCCCTTTTTACCAAAATAAACTGAAAGCTCAATTTAGCCAAATAATGGACTAATGCCGTTTTTCCCCGGTACTCTTTAATTCTTAGACTTTCTACGAAGCACTTAACCAACAGCAACAACTTCGAACTGTAGTTATACTTGCAATTTCTCTCCAACTGAACGGTTTTTCATTTATCTGTTTTACTCTGTCTGAAAATGAAAATCCTAACTTTCAGGACACTTACTTTTACATGCAACAAGCAAATATTTGATTCTTACCACTTCCGGCGATTTGTGGAGTGTGATTAATATTTCAGTGCTTTTGCTGATTCGAAATGTACTTATTTCGACTGCACTCCTTATATTTTTGGTAGATATTTCATCGAAGTGAGTTCCTATCCACATATAGATTCTGGAATTTTTAATAATTTTTGGTACAGCGATAAGGGTCCGAAATTATTGCTACTTACACCAAGTCACCCAAATTGTCCCGTTCGTTACTGATCACAGCCAAATATAAATTTTCGTCTTGGGTGAAAAACTTGCAGTTTTTGAAATGAGGCAGGTAGATTGAATGCAAGAAAACTATGTCTTTATCTGTGATTCTGTAAATGTGAGTATTGCCGGTCTGGGTTCGTACAAATAGGAATTGATCTCCCTCATTTTGAGCAACCTGAAAAACACAACGTCAATCGCAAAAACTTAATCAGGGGAATTACAGGGTGGTCAACATATAACTGACTGATTTAAGTTGCGCGAATCTCTTGATACTCGGATTTCAGTAGTAATTGTTTAAAGCACATGTGTCCATTTCATTATGGAACTGGGTATTCGTCGCAATTTATCCTGCAAAATATGTGGTTCCAGCAAGACGAAGCAACTTGTCACACAGCTAGGAAACAATGAATCTTTTGCGAACAATATTTCCGGAACGTTTAATTTCTCGATTTGATGATGTCAACTGATTTGATGAGGTCACCGGATTTAACGGCTCCTGACTTTTTTATGGGGATTTTTGAAAAATAGGGTTTATGCCAAACCAAATACTGTTCAGCAGCTGAAGAACAATATCGCGGAAACGATTGAAAATATTCCTCCCGATACTTAGCAAAAAGTGATGGAAAATGTAAGCAAGAGGGCTCAGGTTTGGTGGCTTCTAGAGGCAGACATTTGTCTGATATTATTTTTCATACATAGTTTCTAAGTTTCAATAAAAGATTAAGATGAAAAAAATGGACGTATTTTATTTAATTCCACAGTCAGCCACATATCGGCCACCCTTGAGTTGAATTTCAGTTTTCTCAATAGGTGCGTGAATATTTCGCATGCTCTTGTAATTAGGTGATACTCACTTTAGCATATGAAACGTATTCATTATTTTCAAGTCTGCTGAATCTCCCTACTGGATCCAGACTGAATGTTTTATTATCTATTTTGAAGAGTTCCTGGTATTTTATGACATACACATCTCCTTTGAGTGAAAAGAGGAGGATAGCTGAATCTTTAATTGTAATATCTATTGGTATTACTTTCGTAGCTCCTCTCTCAATATCATTAGCCCCTGAAACAAATTTCTCATCTCAAAAATGAGTCTATAGTATAATAAACCTTTATTAGGCAGTATTGTGCCATTGTTGCCATAAACTGATTTATCCTCTCTATGATGCTTGATGCACTTTCAAATCCTCAAAATATAAAAATTCTTCAAATGTTTAAAAAGTACCTCGCACAAAAATGTCTGAACAAAAGGTATCATTTAAGTTTATAACCATACTGATGGACATGAATGATAGAGATTGCAATCCCATATCTCTCAATCCCACGGGATTTATAGGCGAGATTCACCAAACCCGTACGGGATCCCACACTCTTAAAATATTATTATATAATTTCGAAAGCTACAATGTTTTTTCGTCTGTCATGACAAACATGTCCCCATAATTGAAGTGATCCTTTCCTCAATAGCGAAGTCAGTGGTTATTGATTTTTTCACGATTATTCTTCCCGAACTTGTCTGATTCTCAAAAAAGTGATATCTTACTTCCTCTCCGCCACTGGGCGAATAAGTACATACTATTATAATCCCAGTAAATTTCAAGAATGAGATATTATGTTGTTTGGATGTTATATAACATGTAAAAACCATGTCCCTCCTTTTCATCTCTTTATCGGTCTGTCGATATGTCAGTCTGTTCGGTAATCCTTGGCCCCTCTGTAATTTGGAAAGACTGCTCGAATTTGGATGAAATTTTTACAGAAGGTTACTACTGTGCCACGGACGAAAAAGCTTTGTAGTTTGGAAAAGGAAAAAAATTAAAATCGCCCAAACGTTGTTTTTTGTCGTCTGAAATGATCTTGATCATTCTTGAAAAAAAAATTATGGGTAAAAAATTAGGAGGTGACTAACTTATATATTACAATTTTTTTATGTTAGTATATTTACACATATCTTTAAAACAATTATAGAAAGTGTTTTCGATCGCGTCTCCTTCTGATATCTGGGATCAGCGCTGGCATAACGGTCTGCTTGATTGTTCTGCTTGTACTGCGGCGGTGTTTCGGTAGACGCTGCCGCGTCTGACGATATGGGAAGGAGCAACGTTGCCAGATGAACGGTCACTGCTGGTAGGGCAGGAAAAGAATGTGGACTAATTGTATGGGCCTGTTCGACTGACTTATCCGTTTAATTTATCTATTGTACATGTTCGTAACCAATTTTTTCATCATTTAACTTGTGCCGAACATAATCCTGTATGAACTGATGACAGTGTTGCGGAGGAAGTGCAGAGTCAACCTACTCGACTCCATTTTTTTCTTTTTACTATAGTTGTAACTTTTGGCAAGATTATTATGTACAAAAGACAAGGACTGACTTAAGACTTCCTTCTCACTCAAAGAATTTATTTCGCGTTTTAGCTACATGGAGATTCTGAGCGTTATCTCAGATTAGCTTCTAAAAAAATCTTGACTCAGCCCTAAATTGATCAGAAACTGAAACAGAATTTGGAAACGTTCTGTTTTTCATCGTTTGCTGACAGTAAAGTAAGTAAACAAACTTTTGTTTCCAAAGGCAACTTGATATTATGTTGTGTTTGTTAAAATTAAAGCCAATGATTTTTGTATCAAAACTTTTAGGACATACGTTATTTTTTAACTAGATGGAGAAATCGAAGTTTTTCGCGATTATAAAATTTTTCTCTACTATAGTATGGAAGCATAAAACCAGGAACATATAATTTCAAGAAATAGTTTAGTTAAAATTTTAATTTTGGAGACTAAAGATAGAGCGATTTCTTTTTTCTTGATGTTTTAAAAGAAAAATCTTATTTGAGCTACTAAAATTCGGTTTTGATTCTCAATCACCCTGTATCAGTTTTTGGGAATGTTTCGTATAATTTGGAAGAATGATATAACTAGGAACTGACTAACTTTCGACGTACCTATATAAATTATGCAAAAATCCATCATTATATTATAACAAATTTTAGCTGACATCCATAATGACTTTGAAGGAATCTGTACAAACGACATCTAAATAAAAAAGAACACTAACAATTGTGAAGTCAATAAGTCAATAAGTGGAGCTTGATCCCGTGAGAATGCAGGGTGTGGTTTTGCGCGGTTGCATTTCCTACTTAATGAGTCAGTCTATTTGATCACATTTCAACAATTATCCTGTACCTGCTATGAATCATTTTTTACAAAACTGAGGAGATATATATATATATATATATTTGTATTTGTCTAAAAATGGAGCTTACCTCTTTTGCGAACAGGGTGTTTTTGAAAAACACTATTCATGTCATCACGTTGGTCATTGAGATATTTATCCAGTTTGGAATGAACATCTAAATCACGAGTCGTTACACGTTTTATTTTAAAAATCCATATGCACTGCAACAATTAGCAATAAATGAAGTAACTGAATTGTGGAAATAATTTAAAAAATATTACCATAATACAAAAAACAATTCTGATTTTCATTTTGTGCAATGAACACGTTTTATCAGCACCTGCCAGGAATGGTAGAAAGTAGAAGAGTTCTTCGCGAAGATTCAGAAAAAAGTGTGTGGCGTAGAGTTCCTTCATGCTAAAGCAGAATTTTGTCCCATGTCAAAAACTAGGTATGTCCATACCTATCATGAGCGTGCAACAAATTTCTGAACAAGGTGTCCTTTTGAATTTCATACAAAATTTTTACGGATATTACAGAATGTTACCAGGGAAATTTTAGGGATGATTCACCATGTAAAAAACAAGCATGTGTTTCTTTCCGTACCCTAACAGTAGTTTCGTCCATCTGGGAACAACGTCACCCCTCCCCTATACCTGACTGCACCCGTCAGACGCGGCAGCGCGACATCTCGGCAGTAATGCAGGACACTCATCGAGACCGTCACGCCAGCAGGTGAACCCAGACAGCAGAAGCAGAAACGCGTATCGAAACTATTTCTCTATCATTCTATGGGCAAATGTACAGGGAAACCTATGATGTGTGAAATATGTCACTAGCTGCGTAGCTGAGATTAATAATAAATTCTTCAGGCATCTACTTTATGTTGCCGTTCCAGATATTCCGTTTCAGTTTTGATGCCATGATCATATCGTTTCTTCCAATCATCTGGTGTTATCTTTGACAATTCCTCCTTCGCTATTCGCTGTGCGTCATCTAAAGTAAACGTAATATTTCGATCTGCAACTCTGTTCTTCACTGTAGCCCATATCAATTCGATGGCATTTAAATCGGGTATAATTGTTTTCAGAGAGACCTGGAATATAAGTAATATCGACAATTATAAAATAAATGGCTTCCAAATTTACTATAATGAAGCTAAGTATAATAAATGCGATGGGGTTTGTATGTATGTAAGAGATGACATTTCGGCAAATGTTTCCATAAAAATGATAGATGTAGTGACGGCATTGAATTGTAGCTTTATTTTCAACAATAACAGTTTCAGTATTACTGGTATCTACAGGCCTAATCCCACGAATGTACAGGATTTTGTAAACAATTTGGATTCGTATTTGAGAAGTACTGCAAACTGTGACATTTTGTTGTTGGTGGGTGATGAATATAGACTCATTGAGAGAACATGAATACAGCAATTTAAGATACGTGAATATGTTACAACAGAACGGGTACATATCTCAGATTAATACCCCTACTAGGGTAGATTCTAACTCATCTATGACTATCGACCACATATTTTTGAAGACAAACAGATTTAAGGTCTCTGAAACAGCAATTGAGTGTAAACCAATACTTTTGGAAAATTGTATGACAGATCATTATCCTGTTTTGTTCAATGCTGGGTATTTGAAGGAAGTAATTGTATTGATGAGAAAAGGTTGACATATTGTTTGCAAGTGGTGACTTGGGACAGTGTTTTTTCAGAGAGTGATGTCCAAAAAGCAACTGATAACTTCTATAATGAATTATATAAAGGCATAGATCATTCTATGTATTATTTAAAAATAATTAGTAAGACTAGAAGAGGGATGAGTTGAAACAGAGTTTGACGAAAGATATTGATAATTTGATATGGATACAGTCCTATATCTCTTACAGAAACAGAGTAAATAATCTTATTAAGATCTCTAAAAATCAATATTACACACAAAAATTCATTTTAGCAGGTAATAACTATAGGAAAAGCCCAATGAGGTAACTAACGCTGGCGAAATTAAAAAAAATGACTTAAAATCAATTAATCACAATAATCAGCAGCTGGACAGTCCTACTGATATAGCCTGTGTTTTTAATAAATATTTATTGATATCGGTGAGCAAATAACAAGTCAGATTGATCAAAACTTAATTCTTGATACATCAGACCTTCATGTCGTCAACATTGCTCACTCTATGTGTCCAACTCCAGTGGATAACATAGTGTTACAGCAAATAGTTTGTAATCTGAAAAATAATACCGCACCCGGAAAAGATGACTTACACACTAAAACTATCAAGATGATCATGAAATATATCAGTCACCCTATAACTCACATTATCAACCTCTGTTTCAAATCCTCAGTAATTCCTCGCCAATTTAAAGAAAGCATAGTGACACCAATATTTAAATCTGGAAGTAAAGACAATATGTTCAATTATAGATCTATTTCAGTTATCAATGTATTTGGGAAGATTTTTGAGAAGTGTTTGAATAGCACACTTTCTCCTTTTCTTGAGAAATATGACATAATATCGAACTGTCAATTTGGGTTCCGTAAAAATTGCAATACACAGCAATCTCTACAAGAACTAATAGGACAAGTGCTTGAAAATTTCCAAGATGGAAATAAGACTGTTGCAGTTTTCCTAGATCTTCAAAAGGCTTTCGATTCAGTATCTCATACAATTTTATTAAAGAAACTAGAAAGTGCTGGAGTGCGTAGTGGAGTTCTGAGCTTATTTGAGAACTATCTGGCTGATCGATTACATCAAGTTAAGGTAGGGTCAGATTTAAGCAGCATTCAAAAGATCAAAATAGGTGTGCCTCAGGGGACGGTTTTGGGACCAACACTGTCCCTCATATACGAATACGTAAATGAACTACTTGGATGCAATTTTAACTGTAAAATGATATCATATGCAGACGATACTGTTTTAGTTTGCACTGGTCATTCATGGGATGACGCAATACGGAATGCTGAGTTGTCATTAAATAAAGTCAAATGCTGGTTGGATAACAATTTACTTAAACTTAACATCTGTAAAATTATGTGACGTTTTCTCCAGCCAAAGCCGGCATGCCATTATGCCACCGAACATTAATTATAAATGATAGTGCTGACACTGTCGAAAGAGTTGAAGTTATTAGATACTTAGGAATCATCGTTGGCAGTAATTTAAAGTGGCAGAGTCATGCCGAGCTCTTGGCATCGAATTGAAAGAGAATTATTCATAAGCTTTTCATTCTTAGGAATATTTTGAGCAGAAAGAGTCTTCTCTCAATATATAACTCGTTTGGGGGGTCTCTACTAACTTACGGGATAAGTATATGGGGAGCCGCATACACTAGTACTTTAAAAATATTACAAACCACGCAAATTTATATTGTCAGGACTATTTTTCGTATCCCATCTAGGTCAAGTTGCAGATTCGTTTACATTGAAAATGTTAGATGTTTATATATTTTTGCTGCTCTGAAATTTGTTCACTCCAGAAACAATGTTCCAACCAGCCACACTTACGAAACAAGAACTAAAATAAATATAAGTTACACTTATACCAGAGTGAATAAATCTGTTTGCCAAAAATGCATAAAGTTTGATGGTATAAGGTTGTATAATAAATTACCCCTAGAATATAAAATCCTCTCGAAGTATAGTTTCAAAAAAAGAATTAAGAAGTTCATCTTAAATAACTTTGACATGCTTGCATCCATTGTAGCTTGACTCAACCCAGTCATTTCGTTTCTATCTAAAGTTTTTATTTCTTTTTTTTTATATATACGTGCGCTTTAACTTCGGCTGTGGGCGTCAGTCGGTACTCGGTACGCTACTGGAATAACGGCAGACGAGGTACCATGCGGTGTTGCCGCAGTTCCGTGGGAGGAGCTTGTTACTGCGCAGCATATGACCAAATGTTGGTAGGTGCCGGCAATTGTACGTCCTTTTTGGAAGGAAATTTAAGGATGAACAAGGGCAGAGTATTTCAATTACAGAAACTGCACCGGTTCTACCAAAAGAAAACATTAAAAATCATATTGATGCGTGGGAATTATCGAGTCAATCATTTTTTGTCGTGTACCCTTTCATTCGTTGTGATTTTATTTTGATCATTAAAACAAAACATTGTCACCCCATGTGCCCATCACCCCAGATGACCCACTGCCTGTACTGCATGACCTCCGATGTGTAACATGACATGTCACCCGCATAAATGTAAACACACAAAAGCGTCGCCTCGTGGGAAACGGTAGTCGTTTCATTCATCCCTGAATTCACCCCTGCATTTTTCACTATCAGCCCTGAGGTTCCCTTTCGATGCGGTAGAAACGATCAATACTAGGGTGGCGACGGTCTAGTAGTGTGAGGGTTGAAGTATAGGTGGCGACATCATGAACCTTTTCTGAGCGGGAATTGTTCGTCTAGAGGAGTAAAATTTAAGGGTAGATTGTATGAACGAATCATTGTCGTATTTCGTTCGCAATTTCCATTATTTGTTGTTAAAGAACAGCTTATAATGGATTCGGCGGAACTGTGACAAATAGTCTCTTGTAGGCGGATGACCATCTTAAAAGAAACACTTTTTTTTAATGAAAAATACAACAGAAATAACATACTAAAAGCTTCAAATGTGTTTGTTTAACATGTTTTACATAAATAAATATACATCAAAAAAGTTATACGTAATTTTCGAATTTGCATTTTTTCAGAATCTGATACACATATTATAGGCATACGTACTGTGTAGATATGTGTAAAATTATTTGGTAAAAAAGCTAGTAATTTTTATGTGAACAGATTGTTTTTTTGTATAATTATTTAGAACAGCAAGTTGGATTTGGTAAGTGTGGCTGTACTATTTTCTTCTTGCTGAAAATAACGTTGCAATTTTTTCACGCAGTCTAATGGCTCCTTAGTTGTCACTAGAAGCTCTTCTTCATCGTTGCTTTCTAGTTCGTGTTTCTGTTCGGATCCTTCATTAACCAAATTGGAGTCTGACAATTCCTGTGTTGCTATTAAATTATTGTCAACATTTACATACTCATTAAATTTGTCTATATTCAGTAAACTTTTAATTTTCAGTAAATCACTTAATGGAATTTCATCTTCTGGATTAAAATCGTTGACTACTTTAGTCATGTTTTCCACTAAACCAGCATGGCGAAAACAATTACGAATCGTTTCTGGAGTAACCAATTCCCATGCAATACTAAGCAAATTTATAGCATCTAAAATGGTGACAGCTTTGGTAATGTTGACATCTTCTTGAAGCTCCATAATTTTCATCAACATATGTTTCCGATACATTTGTTTAAGACTCCAAATGGCACCCTGGTCCATTGGTTGCAGAAGTGATGTCACATTGGTTGGAAAAAGTTGAAGGTTGATGTTACTAAGTGAAATATTTGGATGAGCGGGGCAGTTTTTTAAATATTCTTCAAAAATTGATGAAGTTATCGAAGCTTTATTATTTCTAACATGATCGACGGAAATTGTTTTAACATTTTTGAAACACCTGGGATTCTTAAATTTCGCTGAAATAAAAAAGGTCAAGGTCATAAATTCGTTGCAGCACTGCCCTTGAATATCAAAAAAATTAGAACATGAATCTCTATTCATTCACTTACCTATTATCAATAGTTTCAGTACCATAAGCATTAGCATAAATCATAACAGTTATTCGCTCTTTTGATATCATCATTGTCAACTGAAGCTGACTCACCACACCTTTTTCCAAAAGCAATGTTTTGTCTCCTCTTAAACCTGTCTAGCCAACTACATTTGAAGTAATCTCCAATCAATTTCCCAAATTCTTCAGCCTTTATTTGTAGCATAGGTCCACTTATTGGACAATTATTAGCACGCGTTTGTTGAAATCATTTAAACAGCATATCATCGACTTGGGTATGCAGCGATAGCCGCATTTTTTTCTTTTGACTATTTGACTTCCAATCATTTTTAATTTTGTCACGGTTTTTCCAAATATTTGACACAGTGGATTTTTTATAGCCATACGAGCCCATATATTTGCTTGAGATGAACCCTGCTCAAGCTCACTAATTATTGTGAAATTTTCGTGTAAAGCGAATGCTCGTTTCGCACTGTTCGACATGTTTATAACTCTAATAATAATAATAATAATAGTTATTCGCCAAAATTTAAAAAATGGGCAAAGAAATATGAAAAAAACACAGAAGGCATCGCCTGGGTGTGGATTATAACTTAATAATTAACAATATGTGTTTAACAATTATTATTGGAAATTCTAAAAACTATTAATATTATATTAATAAATACAGTATAACACTGGTGGCCAAGTTCGATTTCAAACTGCGAAGTCAAACCGCCGTAAACGATTGCATTAGCTAAATCTGCTTCGGGGAACTACTAAAATACCTCGCATATAATGAATTAAAATAGTCCGCTGTAAGGGCGGGTCTATTTTAAGCGAGTCTATAATATCCGAGGATTTTACATGCAATTATTCATAGGACCTTAAATTGTGCCCATTATATACGGGTTTCCATTATAAGCAAGTTCATTATAAGTGGATTCCACTGTTTTTAGTTATTAAAAACAGGCGTTTTTCTGTCTCGTCTGGAAATAAAATCAATCTAGTGAAAACTATTGTTTTTTTATACTCTAGCTACCACGAAGACCTAAGGCCTAAATACCCATGGGGTACCGTGGGGCTACAGGGGATATAAGTTATGGAATCCTGATGATTACCATTTCAACGGTACGGCTAACACCGTCCCGATGTCCTTTTGATCAACGTCGTCCATCCGGTTTCTAGTTACAGCTTTAGGTGTTATCTTCGTGAGAAAATTATCGACTTTGCATTTTGCTGTTTTATTTCTTATAAACTGAATATGAAATGTAATTAGCGTTGTTGTCATCCTGTTTTCAACCAATAAAGTTCCTGCAATAGTTTCGAACCGAAACCACACTGAGTTTCATTTCTTATAGGGGAAATGAGGGGGACGCCACACGGTCTCTAGCGAGGGAACACGTGTGCAGCATGCACACATTCTGGCCCCGCCTATGAGATCCGCCGGGTGGTACCTCCGCGTACGAAAGTCAGAGACCGTCTACTACCTTTATTACGGGGGAAAACATACATACAACAAAAAAAATGTACAAGGTAAGAAAAATTACTTTTTGACAAAATTAACAATTCACTTAGTAAACCAAAAGCAACTTGGAATCTGGTAACCAACAATTAGAAAAAATAAAAACTCCTAAAGCTATTACACTGGACAAATACTCTGGCGGAAAGTATTTCACTTTGAAATGAAGGGAAACGACGGATTTCACCCGGACAACGTAGAAGAATGCACTGATAATATTAGACAGAAACATAAAGCGAAATTTGCAGATAAAATCCTTGTCTGGGGCGCAATTTCTAACAGGGGTGTATCCCAAACCTTTTGTGGGAAAAGTGAGGGATGAAGCTTTGAATAGTCAGAGCTATATTCATGCCTTTCCAAATTGCTTCAGTTTGTC